TGGTCACTTTATTGACTGCACATTCCATAGACAAGGCTCAGAGAGGGAACATGAATTGCCCAAAGTAACACACCTTGAATACAGTAAAGGCAAGGTTCAAACCCAGGTCTGCATGGCCCGAAATCCTAAGATTGGGATCCCTCTAAAGTACAATGACAGTGGTCGTGACATAGATTCAGAGCTAGAGTAAAATTTTCTCAGGCTCCAAACTGAAAAGATTTTGGTGCCCTCTTACCCCATATGTAATTTAGAATAAAAACAATTCTAAACACTAACATAAGTATTAAAAAGTCTAATAAAGTTGTAATCCCCCATCTCCTACCCCAGAGTAACTACATTGCCTTTTGTTCTAAATATCAAATTATTTTAATATATTTGGAACTTTCTCATCTTTCCCTCCTTCCAATCCACTCCCTCTCATTTTGAGCACTTGCCTTTCTAAAGCCCTAATTCTGCTTGATCTCTGACCATGTAAGCAACATCGTGTGATGACTGTGGGTGTGAAGTTGGGGGATAACAAACTCACTACATTCCCTCCCAACTCAAAGCGTCTGGGATTTCATCATTTCAAAAACAGTGAGATACTTCCGTTCATCATGGGGCGATGCCCAATATTCTGAAAAGATTATAAATGCTTGTTAAAATCTTTTCCTTATGGGGAATGGAGAAAGAAAGACTAAGGGGAAAGACAAACTGTGAACACAAATATCTGCTGACACCTTGGAAGGCAAATTACTAGTAAGACCATTGACTTTATTTCATATGCAAATTCGCTACAAAAAAACCAAACACAATTTGGACTAAGTTAAACAGACTAATGCAGCAAAGAATGGTATCAGTGCAAAGCTCTCCCCGGCTTGTCTATTTAGATGTGCTCCACGGAGCACTATATTTCAGAGGCTGAATAAAAACCCAAGCCCATACGTTAATAAACCAGCACATTCTGAATGACACTTTATTGATATGAGCAATTCTAACTGAGAGTGTTCAGTGTACTGTGGTTTCGTTCATAAAGTATATGGCTTCTGAATTTTCATTTGGATTGCATAGTTGAGTCCCCAAATTGGTTATTCCTTTCCTTGCACTTGGGCTCCTGATTTCATTTGGTGGTGACAGCTTGAAATTTGGGTTTGTAACGCTTAGCAGTTGGCAATTTGTTCTCTTCCCCCTGGGGGGGGCACTTTGCTAATTGGTTAAAGATAATTGGGAAGGAAAGCTGTGTGGCAAAATTGGAAGATGCAACAGCATGGTCTGTCCTTTTCTAGACCTAAATGTTTCCAGAAAGAAGTGGACTTCCGCTTTCATTTGGCTTTTATGAGGCAGAAAGGCAGTGAATGAATGGTGAGCCCTTAATATGTTGCACATTTTGTCTTGAGAATCAATCTTCCTTGACTATGAACTCAGTGAGGGGCAGGAGATGTGTCCTGCTCACTGTTGGGTCCCTATCACCTGGAATGGTGTCCGGCACATGGCAGGTGCTCAGGAAATGTTTGCTCATTTGCTCAGCCTACGAAGGACTGAAGGGATAGCTATGTGGAAGGTTCTATCAGTGCTTCTGGACAGTTCCAGTTAAGTGAAAGATTAGGCTGGGCACAGTGGCTCATATCTGTAATCCCAGCACTTTGGGAGTCCCAGGTGGGAAGATCACTTGAGACTGGGAGTTTAAGACCAGACCAGGCAACATGGCAAGACCCCAAAATTTAAAAATTGGCTGGGCATGGTGGCACATACCTGTAGTCCTAGCTATTTGGGAGCCTGAGGCAGGAGGAATGCTTGAACCCAGGAATTCAAGACTACAGTGAGCCATGATCATGCCACTGCACTACAGCCTAGGTGACAGATACAGAACTTGTCTCTAAAAAAAGATTAATGATTATACCATACCCAGATATGCATGCCCCTGGCAGAATGACTTCCCTGCAGCCCTTCTCCCGGGCTACTGTCTGTTTGGTTGTGGTATTTGGTTTCTGGTCTCAGCCTTTGATTGTTTTTCATCCGGAACCATTCTAAAAGAGTTGGTCACTATGGCACAGACGTCTTGTTTGGAACCTGCCAGTTTTAGAGACAAAACCTTAAAGTGAAGCAAAGTTTTAGTCCTAAAAGCCCCTGAACATTAATACCTGAAGCAGCTCAGGCAATCTGGCCAGAGCTTTGCTTTCACAGTTTTCTCTGATGCTGCCAAAACTTGACCTAGAAAATGGACATCCCCAGGAGCATGCAACCAGCCTCAGGCACTGTCTCCATGAATCCCAGCAAAGTAGGATAAAGCATGAAAAATGTAGCACAGCATCCAGCGAACTGGTAGACCCTGTGTCCCAAATCCAGCCTGTTTCCAAATGTTCCACAAGCAAAGCATCTGGGTGGTAGCCTGATTTTTCATCAGGTTGTATTGAATTCATGGGGATATAGACTCAAAAGGTGTAGCTTCCACAGGTCCTGTAGGTCTCCTGAAGGCCTCAGCCACTAGGACTGAGGACGTGGGTGATGCAGCAGGCACCAGAGAACAAACCAAACTCTTTAATATGTTGAGTGAAGTCTCACCAGGGTCAGAGGCTTGGAGGACTTGGTGGTGAAACTATTATGCTAACAAGACTAGACTATATTTCAATTCCAGTAAGTCAGATGGCCTCTCCCCAAATGTGGGTTTGTGCATGTACCAACACTAACACTGAAATATCGTTAAGATGAAGTGCCCAACTGTGCAAACCAGTATTGGTCATATCCATACCTCCAAGAGATACGGAGAGACTCAAAGCAATTGTTTCCTACTGTCTTAGTTTTTTCAGGCTACCATAACAAAATACCACAAGGTGGGTGGCCTAGGAACAACAGAAATTTATCTCTCACAGTTCTGATCTGGGAAGTCCAAGGTCAAGGCAGCAGCAGCTATGGTGCCTGCTGAGAACCTGCTTCCTGGTTCACAGATGGTGGAAGAGGCGAGAGTTCTCTCTGGGGTCTCTTATATAATATAAGGGCACTAATCTCATGCATGAGGGCTCCACCCTAATGACCTAATCACTCCCCAAAGACCCACCTCCAGAAACCCTCACACTGGGGATTAAGTTTCAACATATTAGTTGGCTGGGGTGGAGTGGAGGTGAGGCAATGTAACCTCTCCATCTATAGCCCCTGCTAAACATCTGTGTACTTTTTCCAGGTTGATGACCCTCGCTCATGTTTCCATTACTTGGTTCCACATTCCTTCCTAAGAATAGATATTCTTTCTGGTTTCCAGTGGCCAGCAGAGCTCCTGAGCCAGATGCATGGCATGTACTCAGAGAAGTCTAGAGACTGTCGTTTGGAATAGGTATGCTCTCCTGCTTCCGGTGGAGACTCAGCAAGCGGAAGCTGGGTTTGCCAGGAGCCTTTCCAGACCCCTGGGTCTGTGTCTGCCTCCTATCCCTGGTATGGAAATACCAGACTCCTATTCGCCCACTTGCTTTCATGTGACCAGTTCATTTGTCCTCAAAGCCAAGAGCGACCAGGGTCCAAGAGGAAGGAAAAAGAAAATGGAGGCATAGCGAACCTCTAATTTCCTGGACCCACTCGTAATTCTCTGCAACGGTCTCCACTCCACAGTAAACCTCATAAAAAGCATCTTGTAGGGGCTCCAAGTTTATTCCTCATCATTGCAGCAAGACAATGGCTTGTACCACTTTTTTTGTGCATATCTGAGCCCTCAGCACAGGTGAGCAGAGAGGGGAGTAAGAATTGCTCCTTTGGTCTCTCAGCACTTTCTAAGTATGTGGCAGAGAACTTGAGCAAATGCAGCTCCGGTGAGAAGCAGCACCGTGCGTGTTGCTGCCCAAGCCGTGCCAGTCTCCTTGGATCCACAAAAGCCCCAGAGTTATGACTGACCAGCAGGGCACAGGGATGCCTCAGAGACATTCAGGGTTGGTTTGCCTGTTTGTATTGTAAGAGACAGGATTTCTTACCTTTAAGTCTCCCTGGCCTCAGGTCTCCTTCTTACTGAGTATTCTGCTTTTTTTTTTTTTTTTTTTTTTTTTGAGACAGAGTCTCGCTTTGTTGCCCAGGCTAGAGTGAGTGCCGTGGCGTCAGCCTAGCTCACAGCAACCTCAAACTCCTGGGCTCAAGCAACCCTCCTGCCTCAGCCTCCCAAGTAGCTGGGACTACGGGCATGCGCCACCATGCCCGGCTAATAGTAGAGATGGGGTCTCGCTCTTGCTCAGGCTGGTTTCGAACTCCTGACCTCGAGCAATCCGCCCACCTCGGCCTCCCAGAGTGCTAGGATTACAGGCGTGAGCTACCACGCCCGGCCTCTGCTTTCTTATAATAGATCTTTGCTTTGAATATAGCCTACCATGGCCCCTCGGCGTCTCGACCAGCCAGTTTCAACATCCACTGCTAACAGTTTCTTGGCATTTCCAAGAGAGAGAAGTGAGTTGGCCTAGCCCCTGTGCTGAGCCACATTTTTGTTGCTGGTCAGCCTGAGTTTGTGGCTCCTGGGACACAATTTCCTGTCCAATGTGTAAGCCAGAGGGCAAAGCAGGCAGCATAGGGGACACATGGTCTCTGGATGGGGCTAGACAGAGGGTAGGTGTCCGGATTACTGGGACTAGCACAGGTGGTGGGTAGGGGGACAGGTAGGTGGTCTTGAGTGTCCCATACCATTGTCTTCCCTGGACTCCTTGGGAGCCACTGACCTGGATGGGACTTCTTTGTGCTCTGAGAAGGGCACCTGAGCGGACACTGGCTTCTTCTGCCCTGGGACCCCATCGGCCCCAGGAACACATCTTCCTTCAGTTGCCAAGTCGTGGGTGGGCTGGAACTGCTTCTCTGGGACCTGTGGATGGCCAGGGGTGAGCTTTTCTTGTCCCATAAGCCCATGCCCCAAGCTGGGGTGGTTCTGAGATCACACTGGGTCCGCCAGGACTGCAATGGTTCCTTAGCAACCCCCCGTTGTTGTGGGGCCGGGTTGTGAAAGGGATTCCATCTCACCAACTGGAAGAGGTAGAATGAGAAGCAGGCAGGTTTTGGGGTATGAAAGCCTTTTGTCATTTTATTTTACAATAAAAAACTCTAACAGCATATGAACACTCTGTTCCCGGCAGAGGCTAAGGACGTACAAAGTTAATTAGAAAGCAAAGCATTAAAATAACAGCTACATTCCAAGCTTCTGTTCAGTACTTTGCCCAATGTGTCTAATGTGGTTTTAAAGAATCACTGGTCTGGGGTTTTCACCCAGAGTTAAAGCACATATACAAGTACTTACACATCCTCCAAATCAGAGACGACAACGACAATTAACAGCAAGTCCAGATGAGGTTGGCTTTTGTGGGCAACTCCAAATTTAGGAATTTCTTTATTTTTCCTTGACAAGAAGTTGTGTCATGGAACACGTGATAATACAAATTAATTCAGGGGCTAGGAGGAGCTCAAATACCTTGCTGGAGAGAACTGAATGACAAAACCCATCATTTAGTAAGAATTCCTTCACCTAGACTTTTCAAACCATTTTCAGATACATTATGCTATGTGCTCCTCACAACCACCACGAGAGGTAGGAAGTACATATGTTGTACCCATTTGACAGATGAGGAATCAGAGAGCAAAGTGTGTCACTCCAGGTCGAGAATATTTACATCTTTTTCAAAATTTCCAGTCCATATGATAACTTCTCTGATTCTTTTTAATACAAACCTTTTCTCTACTTAGTTTGGGGTGTGTGATAGGGGTGAGTTTAGACATAAGGAAGAGATGAGGAGAAATAAGGTGAGGCCACAGTTAATTTGTGTAAAATACATTGACAGCCTCCCTTCATAATTTGCAAAAGTCTGACCAAGGTCAGAGATTGAAAATAATCCACTTTTAGATTCTCTTATATAATGGCTCTCACTGAAATGTGGGTTTGACCTATGCAGACAAATTCTGTCGTATCACAGATTTCCTGATTTTTGAAACCTGCAAAATCAAAGCAACTTACTATCTTCCGAAAGAATTTGTTTCTGGCACAACTACATTTCCTAAACAGTCCTTTTCAGAAACACCTTACATTTTAGCATTTATGTTAGGCTCGGATTCTGTAACAGTTCACCTAAGAAATCAAGAGACCTTTCAATTCTCAGGACACTGACTTATTATATTCAGAAGGTCAGAGCCACAATAATATCAGTTTCACTTGAAACCAATTTTGTTTCAAAAGACTCTATGGAGAGGCTCATCGGTTTTCTCATCCATGCAAGTGTGTGGCCGTGAGCCACATTAATAGCACCTGAGCTAAGATCATGCAATTCAATTTACAAGTATTTATTGTCTGCTGAGCAAGACATCGTGCTAACTGGGCCTTGGTCAGAAATCACTTCTGAGACACAGCAGCTGTATCAGTAACTGGCGTCGGGGTGGGAAGTGGTTGGGGCAGTTCTGGCCAGTCTAGCAGGGTTTCAAGGTCATGTATTCTCACCTGATGTGTAAGTGAAGGACGCCCCTTGTCTCTCTGTGGCAGTCTCCAAAGAGGCTGCCCTCCCAGGACTGGCTGCTGGGTGGCATCCCAGGTGTACTGGTCAATTCTGGTCTGTAGTAGGTTCCTTTTGAAGGTCCTGCCCACTCGTGCTCCTTCCTCTGGGTGCTAGCCCCCTACAAAAGCCCCTGCTGAAAGGGTCAGTCCAGGGGGCTATGCTTATATTACATGACCCAGCCTCCTTGGTCACAGCTGACTCCAGGTGGCTCATCCCTAGGCAGATGAACTGGACCAATCTGATTCTTGAGAATTAACCTCAGGGGGCACAGAGATGCTAATCCCAGAGTGGAGGGACTGGAGAGGAAAGGTTGGGCGAGGTGGGTCCTGGGTGGATATTTTTGTACATATACTAATGAGAAAGCTGGTTGGCCAGGGGAAGACAGAGGACGGAACAGATATGGATGAAAGCCCGTGAGAAAAGAGGACGTGAGAGAGTGTAAGAGCCAGGGCCACCACCTCTACCCCTTCCTGGAGAGGAGCTGTGTTTTGTGTCTGTGAAAGACCCCTGCATTCTTTCAGCCAGCCCCTACACTCGAGCAAGCGTGAGCAGGTCTCTAGTCCTTGCAAAAACTCCTTGACCGAATCCCTTCGAAGTTGGACTGAATGGCAGAATTTCATTTCAACACTTCGACCCCAGTCCGTCACTCCTCCAAGCTAAATGACTATCTTTCCTTAAGGGTATCTGGCTGTATTTTGTAAAGAAAGTCCAAATTATTTTCTGGTGTGTGGTAGGAGGAATTTAGGATTAAGTCTAAATCCTGTGCTCAAACTTTTAAAACAATACTTGTTATATTATTCATTAAACGAGTTTCCGTGTGCTATGTAGAAAAATGGGAGCTCATTTCTATATGCAATCAATGTTTAAATCTTTTCATCCATTGCTCTAATTTCTGCCTGTTAGCAAAGCATTACTTTTAGTTAGGCATTTACATTCCTTGCCTCCTGCATTCTACTACACTCTCTCTCAGAAGGTGTTTTTGCTTTTTTTTTTTTTTTTTCCAAATCACAGATGTAACAATTTCCTTTCTTCCATCAGGATAACTCAGAAATTATAAGCCCTTCTGCTGAGTTATTAAAAAATGCACAATAAAACTTCTTCCAGGACCAAAGAATGGATCTTTACATAATCCACCCTGAAAGAGGAAACTCCTGCTCCATAGGTAACAGTTGCCATCTTGTTGCGACACAAGCCTCCCCTGGTAGGTACCGGGCCACACCCTAGACCTTTCTGTCCCTGCACACCAGGTCCCCCTCCACTGACACAGAGCCGGGGGTCTGATACCTCACCGGGACAAGCAGGAAGGGGCATCCCTGCCTGTCTGCTTGGATCCTTGGTGCTGAGAGAGGAACTCCTCCCCACAGTCTTGAACAGCAGGTGAGGACACCATTTCCTTGACGGCACTCTCTGGAAAAAGCCAAAAATGCATTTCTTTTTCATAAATGCAGAAAACTCATATCCAAACCAGTGCTGAAAAATGTTTATTATGCCACAAAATGCATCGTCCTCTACACACTGTATCTGAAGTTCATTACACACGCAATCAGTCATCTTTTTTCTTGGCAAGAACATTATGGACTTCCTCATATGACCCTTATGTATCTTTTGAGCTTCCGGGCACAGTGAAAGACATGTGTCACTGACAATCCTGCAGCCCACATGGTGGTGAGATGGAAAATAAGTCGGGTCACGGATCAGCAGATGGGGCTGGAAGCCTCGGGCCATCTCTGAATTTCCACTTCCTCCTTCTCCCAGGTCAACCAAGATCCTTTGTGGCTTCTGTGACTGTCTGGAGGGTTCCAATGAACACAGAGTCTGTTGCTGCCTCCTCGGGGCTCTCATGGAACCCTATTTTCACTTCCATGAGGCACGTTTGACCATCTTCCTTTTCTCAGAGTCAGCATCCAGGTGTCTTCACCTGGAGAATCTTCAGAGAAGGGGCCACGCGTCAGTCACAGAAAACCCAACCACAGGGGCTGTCTCCCCATTGGTGGGAAATCATGAACAGACGGATTTCTTTTCAACTTAAGCTTTTCCTCTCATCTACTTCTCTTGCACCCATGGTGTCTAGTGTAAGCCAGTCTCGGATGCAGCATGCTTTATTTTTAGTTGTCTCCACTGACAATTGCATGGGCTTCTGCAAAGACCACGGTGATCTGTGGCTCCATCCTCTTAGCGACCTGGAGAGCCAGACCTCTGTAAGTCATCGGAACATCCAAAGCTCAGACACTGTCTTTCGAAACATGTATATATATTTCAATTACACTAAGGTCTCGAAACGCCATTTTCACATACAGTATTTCCAGGCATGTACCAAGTAGACAAAGTACTGGGTTGATATCATTGCACTGATGAAATATTAATATTACTGGGAAAGCGGGATAATGTAGCTGACTTTATCAGACTCATACCATTTGCATGAAAAGGCTGAGTTTCTTTGGCTCTTTGTTCATTCAAGTGCACTGAATGCCTATTTGGATAGACTTAGGCATTATGTTAGTCTGTCCATAAAATCTTGCACTGTCCACAGTGTTTTGCAAGCTGACTTAGGTTCTGGACTACAACAACTGGCCATTGGTAGAAATATACCATATATACAGAAGGGAATTACAAAAATACATTTTATTTATAGCTGATTTCTTTTTAAGTAACAAAAACCTAACACTATGAAAGATCAACCAGCATACTAAAAGGACACTACCTATTATCATCCGAACAAGAGACTTGTTTGGGAATTCCATGACATGTCGTCTCTGAACATTCCAAAGAGGGCAATTTGCCACTGGGAAATAAAAACGGCTTCTGTGAAAAGTCTGTGCTTTGACAGTTTCAATCTCCCGTTCTAATCAGTTCCATTTCTCGTCTTCTCTCAACGTTTCAGTTTCCACCTTGTTCTTTCAGTAAAGACCAAAGAAACTCATGAGGACAATGGGCAGATGGGCTCAGAAGGGATGGAGACAGCAGAAGCTAGATGCAACGTGGGCGAAAGCAGGACAGGACCTCGTTCTCCAACAGACACCAGGTAGGCCCCCAACCCAGTACAGGCTCCCCAAGTTGGTATGGGAACCAAAGTGTCCCCTCTCCCCTGCTACCCAAAGTCAGCAGCTGTCTTGCTCACGTTGCTGGGGACGGGGGGGGGGGAGGAGGGTTGGCAGCAGCTGGTGCCTCAGTGCTGTGAGGCAACGTCCCCTACCCAGAGCTCTGGGGACCAACTCGCCATGCCAGGAAGGGTGACTTGCAACATCGTGGCCACAAGGTAGCAGCAGCCCTGCCACTTCAGCACATGTCCTCCTGCGTCTATTAGCTGTAGGCAACTGGCTAACTCCCTGCCCACACTTTTTAAAAGTTTATTTACATTTAAATGCAACTCAACAGATTTCCTACATTCAGAAACTTCTATAAACAGAGGCTGCAGCCTGGGAAGACTTTGGAACCACCGCTCCTGTCTCTAACAGGGATCAGTTACCACTCCCTTTTGTACCGCTGGGCCGCACAGGCTGGACGTCATTGTTGAAGGGACAGAGATTTTCCTGTAAAAGGCAAGTATCTGTTATTCCCCCAAAGAGAGCAGCTCTGTTCTCAGGCCACCTTCAATGCAGGGCGAAGAAAAACCTCCACAAATAACTGTGTTTCTTTGTAGGACCCTAAGAGCTCTTAGCACCGATTCTCTTTCAGTTAGATCCTAACTTGTGGGGTGCTCTATTCCCAAAGCGACAACACCTTTCAGAAAACCCGTCGACACAAATCTACCATTCTCTCTCTTCTTCTCTCTTTCTTGGCCTTTTTTTTTTAATTACTGGGGGAAATAAAGAGTCAGGACTATTTATAGGCGCAGCCATGGGTACTGACTTTCATCCAATTTCATTTGACTTTGAATATGAACCTTTTAAAAAAAGGGACTCAAGTTTCTTGGCTGGAGTCAGCGTCTCCCTTGCAGACTAGAGACGATGTTAACCATCACGGTCACGGCTGAATGAGAGAGAGTACAGTCTGCTGCTTAATCCACGCTGCTGTGCTGCCTTAACACAGAAACAGTTAACATGCAGGGTCACCGAAGATGAGAGGTATATTCTCCGCCTTCCAGTGATTTATTAAAATATGGCATTGGACAGGAATCTGTAGATTAGCTAGTGCCTCTTGTGATTAAGGCTCCAAAGGGAAATACACCCAGTTCAAACATTCAACATAATGAATATCAATCATAACGTCCCCAGCGGGCACTTCTTGACACACGAGCAGATGAACTAGCCAAGAAGAATCCAGCTGTTCATTCTCGGGTTCCCTCTGTTTCCCAGAAGCCCCGCTGTTCACCTTTTCAGAAACTGAGCTTTAGAAAGACTCACTCCTTCTCCGAAGTCCCAACACATCAGGCGTGAGAACCCCAAAGGCTGTTTCGCGCAGCATGGAAGTCCCGAGTCCCCCGGGGCTAAGGCGTTAGACCTGGAACTCAAACATGTCTGTCTGTTTCTTGGCCAGCTTGGCCACCTCCTCCCGGATGGCTTTCACCAGGGCCGCGGTGGAGATGTTGGTCAGCGGCGCGTCCGAGGGGTCATTTTCTGCCAGGCTCTGCTGCGAGGCCGCGGCGGAGGGCGCGGGGGCCTGCTCCAGGCTGGGGTGCAGGCCAGAGGGCTGGCTGTACTGGCGGGGGAGCCTGGAGGGCGAGCTCTGCTGATACCGGGATCGGGGGTAAGCCTCGATGTACCCGGGGAGGGGCACCTGCGGAGGATGTGGGGAGACAAGAGGAGGGCCTGGCATTAGGAGGGGACTCAGTCATAGGGCACACTTGATACTGGAGGTGGGAGGGGACTGAGGACAAGGGAAGGCACTTAGGAGAAAACAGAAGCCATGTGCTACCATACAGATACAAAACCCAGAATCAGTCTGTTTAGAAAACTGGTCATTTGGACTCATTGACTATGCTGTTTAGATGGATTAAATAGGTGTTTTAACCCTTGCTGAAAACATTAGGAATATATCTGAGTCCAGATCTGAATTTATCTGGCTACCTTATTCATATAAGCACAATTATTGCTCTTTATGGATCTTGAAGGAATTCGGGGGTAATTATTATTAATAATAATAATAGCTAACACTAATTGAGCTAACACCGAAAGAGCCCTGTGCTAAGGGCTTTCCACACATCATTTCATTTAATTCTCAAAGCAACAACATAGGAGGTAGGTACTATTATTCTTATCTTACAGATGAAGAAACGGAAGCAAAGAGTGCTACAGTCTAAGGTGATAAGCCTGAGACACGCTTTGCACAGGTCTGTCTGGCTCCAAGGGTTGGGCATTAATCACCACACTACAATGTCTTGGATTCAGGATATGATCTCAGTGTCTTGAAAAAATGTTCTCTTTTCATTAAAAGTGGAAGACACATAGTTCTATGCTTGAATATATGGAAGTTTCTAGGGATAAGGAAAATCAATGATTTAGAATGTAGGATCAGCACTCCTACAGAAACAGTGCCACTTACGGGGATGCTGTCCATGGTATTCCACAAAAGACCTGTATGTCCCATAACATTAATATGTCTAGGACCATCACACTTGGCTGGCAAATACCACTCCTTCCCTAACCATCATCCATGGCAGACATTACCAATTGATCACAGCACAGTTTCCTGCTGAGCCCAGAAGCCCCTTCCCAACCCTTCTCCATGGAGCATCAAGGATGAAATCTACTTGCCATCCCAGGTCCAGGTGACTTTATCCAAGCTGGCTCCTGGGACCAGGAAGGTTAGGCATCCAAATGATGGTGCAGGCCTTTTCCTTCTCACGTCAATGTGGAAGGGGTGCATCTCGCTGCCCTAAAGGGGCATCTTTCTCAAGCTGACAACTGTTCAGAGTTTCCTGCACTGGTTTTTCTGTGCTATAAATCGCCTGTCTTGCCCACTTACTCCACGCCTTCCTGCTTAACTGCAAGCGGTGGTTGTACTCCAGGAAAGACCCATTTAGGCTGCAGCAATCATCTTCCTCTTAATTAAAAAAAGCTAATAAGAAACTGGTTCTCCTTCGCACCAAAGGGTATGAGCCCAGAATGATCTCGTCACCCTGTCAGGAAGGTTAGGTTTCTGTGTGCTGCGCTCCTTTTCCTTCCTCTTTAAGGCAGAATGAACCCAAAGGCCTGGGTCTGGCTATAAACCTGGCTAAGTTATGTCTTGTAAGTGTCTTGAGGGTGAGGTCAAGGTTTTGGAAAATCCTTCTGCCAAGTCCCATGGAGTACCCAGCGTTGCACTTTGCATGCAGTGGGAGCTGTCAAAGCCACAGACTTACTGTCTAAGTAGTTAAATACAGTCTACTTTCTGAAAAGTATATATAATTTTTAGACTGTAAGTGGAATTACAGAATCAAATAAGCTCTGAACTGATCAAATCAATCCAGTGATGTCAGCTGTTTAGAACAGCAAAGAATGAAGCCCGCCGCCCCCTTCCAAAAGAAGGTTCCCAAACCAAAATAGATGCCATAAAGTCCCACATTAAAATCCACAGACTTAACAGCAGGGAATTCCTCCAGTTCCTTACTTAGAGCTTATTTACTCCAACTTTACAAACAATTCTAACGAGCTAAGACACGCCTCATTTGCTGATGATAGCACATTAGGAAAAGCATGTTTATTTATTTATTTATTTTTTTTATTAACTCAGCATCACAGGGAAGAAGAAAAGCATGTTTAAGGGCTAGCATATTACTGGAAGTAGGGACATTGATAGCAACATAAAGTGCCAGCTGGGAGCAAGATCAGACAAAGAAAAAACGAAAAACCATGCTGAGCCATGATAGTAACTCCAAAAATCATAGTATTAATGGTTTGGAGATATTTGATAATATAGAGGCAACAACCCTACAAACCATTAGAGTTCATCCTACAAATGACATTTTAGTACAGTGAGGCATCATAATGATGCTGAATCACTCATAAACGACATGAAATTATGTTATATCCTCTTTTATTTTTTATTATTACTTTTTAATCTCTTAAATATTCCCTAGGATATAGCCTCTTTTAAAGAAGGAAGGGGAAAATATCATTCATTACAGAAATATTTTTATGCAAAATGATACATATTTCTAAATGTTTTGAAAATTAAAGGGGTAAGCTTTGGTTATCAGGAAAATTAACATATGTAGGAGAGCTTTACCTCATGCTGTCATTTTAAGTGTGGCATGAGAACAGACACAAAAACCAGTGTTGAGTTGTTGCTACAGGGGCAGAGATTATGGACCCAGGGGTTTATGCAGAGATAAAAGATGACTCAGGCCTTGGTGTCAATGTGCTTTTTAAGTCTAGGATTTATTCCAAATACTGAGACCAACCCCTAAAATGAATTTAGAGTTAGCCTGGGGGGCAGCCTGCCTTTCTATCCATGCAAAATGATCTCACTCAGGGACTAGGCAACCCACTCTAGAGGTCATCATTGGGTTTTTCCTGTTTGCTTGGTTTCTTTCACATAGCAGCCCTTGACAGGTGAATGAGAAGCCAGGTTGGGCTGCGAATAACCCGGCTGGTGCAGGCTGAGCCAGGTCCACTGTGTCAGGGGTCCCCAACCTTTTAGGCACTGGGACTGGTTTCTTGGAAGACAGTTTTTCCACAGACGGTGGGTAGGGTGGATAGTTTCGGGATGATTCAAATGCATTACATTTATTGCGCAGTCAAACCTCTCTGCTAATGATGATCTGTATTTGCAGCTGCTCCCCAGCACTAGCATCACCGCCTCAGCTCCACCTCAGACCATCAGGCATTAGATTCTCATAAAGAGCTCACAGCCTAGATCCCTCGCATGCGCAGTTTGCAGTAGGGTTCGTGCCCCTATGAGAGTCTAATGCTGCTGCTGATCTGACAGGAGGCGGAGCTCAGGCGGTGATGCAAATGATGGGGAGCGGCTGAAAATACAGATGAAGCTTCCCTTGCTCACCAGCCGCTCGCCTTCTTCTGTGTGGCCCAGTTTCTAACAGGCCACGAACAAGTACTGGTCTGCAGCCCGGGGTTTAGGGACTGTAGCACTATGCCATATACACCTACTTGTAATGATGGGAGAAACCAGGGGACCAAAAGAAGGCAGTCCTTGGCCAGAAGTTAGGCAGAAAGTTCTGGAATCTATATGCAAAGTAATTCAGTCTTGGGTTTCCAATGCCTCAGTTTCTGACATTTCATCTAAAATTTTACAGCTAAAAGAAACAAATTTAATGACAGCTTTGGAGTCAAGACAGGTGCAGGTTTGAATTCTGGCCTTGACACCTCCTTACTAGCTGTGTGGCCTTAGACACGTCACAACACCTAACTAGGCCTCAGTTTCCTCATGTGCAAAATGGGAGTAATCATGGGAATAGTAATACCTACCTGATAAGATTGTTGTAAAGATTAAATGAGATAAGACAGACAAAACATCTAACATGGTGTCTGGTACATAGAAAATACTCAACAAATGGTACTTATTATTATACAAATTCACTTGACTAAGATCGCCCTGCTAGGAAGAAGTAGAGCCTGGACTAGAAGGCAGGTCTAAGTTCTTCTGTCAAAGTACATCGTGCCTCACCATACCGTCTCCTTTAAAATTAGCCATCCGGTTAGTGGCAGTGGGGTTGAGATAACAAAACACTCGGTTTCAACTTTTCATCCCATTTTCTCCCTGCTGTGTGGAAGTTTCACGAGGGAATCAGAAAGGGTCTCACCGAGTCGGCCCACTGGCTTGGGAGCTCGTTCTCGCCTGCGTAGGACATCCAGGCCTGGTTCCTGTAGGACGAGGGAGGCGTCGGGATGAAGTAGCCGGTGAAGCCAGGTCTGTTGGCAGCTGGGATGGCGAACACTGCCGGCACCGTATTTCCTGGCACGGAGGAGATGGAGAGGGGAGGTTAGGGAGGCTGGTCTCTGGGGCCCAGCCACCCAAGGGCCAAATAGAGCCAGTTTCACAGGCCCCCTGGCTGTCTGCTGGTTTGAGGTGGGGGAGAGCTTGCTCTGGGCTGTAACATTTGCTGGGGGCTGTAGCTCCATCAAAGGTAGAGTGTATGTTAACCTTTCAGCAGACTTCAGTTGGGTTTTTCTTTTATCTTCAAAGCATTCCAGATATAGCTATCCACCCCCCTCTCATTCCCCTTCTCCCAAAAGGTAATCACAGTCCTCAAGGCATAGGTTTTAATCTTTTGCTTCATATGTCTGTATAAATAACAGTCTATATTCATGTTCTGTGCATTTGAAATTTACATAAGTGATATCATGCTATTATGTTACCTTTTGCACTCTGTTTTCACAATTTAACATTGTTTTCAAGATTTCTCCAGGTTGCTACTCACACACTGGACAGATCTAGTTCATTCATGTAACCTGCCATCCGATATTCTATTATATGAGCCACAGTTTAGCCTTTGCCCTACTGATGGACATAATGGTTGTTTCCAGTTTTTTGCTATTATGAACAATGCTCAGATGAACATTGAGTTTGTATTTAGTTTATTCAAACTGCCTTTTAGGCTAAAACTGCAAGCACCCTGTTGCCAAAACTTATTAAAGCATTCATGGTTTCCAGAAATTCTACCAGTGAAGTTTGTTCCTTTTGGTTCTTTTTCTTGGCTCAAAAAAATACACATCCTCCTGGGAGAAAAACACCTATGGACACCGAAGTGTCATTTTCTCTTGCTGGCAGGTCAGGGGTGTTGGGATGGGGTCGGTGGGGGAGTTGGTGAGGGCTTAGCAGGGGGTGGGGGTGGGGAGGTGGGTGGGAGGGTGGGGTGGGGTGTGTTGAACTTTCCTAGAAAGGCAGGGTGAGTCGCAGCAGACGATGCCCTCCTGTGCTGACTGGGCAGGTGAGCAGTGCTGGGCTGCAGGTGGAAGTCTGTAGCTCCCCGCCCCACGTCCCCCATGGACTTTGTCCTCTCATCCCCTAGCCAAGGCCAGTGCCAGAGTCCTCTGTGTCCCCACTTCTCCCAGCTTGGGCAGATGCAGGCCCAGGGGGTGAGGTGCTGGCTGGGCCCACTGCTGCCTCTTTAGGGGATGGGAAGATGGGAAAAGTCCAGAGCACCAGGAGCCCATGGTGCCTTTGGTGACATTCGAAACAGGATTCCCTTTACTGGGCAAGTGCAGATCCTACCCCTGGCAAAGGGAACACAGGCTGGACTTTAGCTGCACTTGGCCTCCAGGCCAGGTGCCCTTGAGCAGTGCAACACCTGCTCAGCTGAGAACAGTGGCCCTAGGAGAGTTCCACAAAGATCAGGAAGGCCAGGTTCCCTCTGCTGCATCCCTCCTCCTCTCTGTTTCTGTGTCACCTGGGGTCTTAGACTTCACCACAGGGTCTAAACCAGGCATCCTCAAACTACGGCCCACGGGCCACATGTGGGTGTTTTTGCCCCTATTTGTTTTTTTACTTCAAAATAAGGTATGTGCAGTGTGCATAGGAATTTGTTCATAGGTTTTTTTAAACTATAGTCTGGCCTTCCAACGGTCTGAGGGACAGTGAACTGGCCCCCTGTTTAAAAAGTTTGAGGACCTCTGGTCTAAACCATATGGCAGTTTAAATGAATAAACTAGATCTACACAGTATTTGGGGAGCAACCTGGAGAAATCTTGAAAACAATGTTAAATTGAGAAAACAAAGTACAAAAGGAAATGTATAGCATGATATCACTTATGTAAATTTCAAATGCACAGAACATGAATATAGACTGTAATTTATACAGACATATGAAGCAAAAGATTAAAACCTATGCCTTGAGGACTGTGATTACCTTTTGGGAGAAGGGGAATGAGATGGGGGTGGGTAGCTGTATCCGGAATGCTTTGAAGATAAAACAAAAAACCAAACTAAAATCTGGCAAAATGTTAACATACACTCTGATTTCCCCATTACTTGGTATTCTGCCCGATTTCAGATCTTTTCCAGAAATCAAACCAGTAGCTCTTTTAGTTGGCTACTGAAGTCAGGAGGGGATCCCGAAAGGCGGTGGCTTTGAATCCTGAGGGTGGCAGGTGGCAGGAGGCAGGAGAGAGGATGGGGCGGCCGGGGAGGACGGAAGCACAGCAGCAGAAGCCGGGATGCTCAGGCCTGTCTGCTCTTGCCCACCTGAGTAATTTAAAGCCGACTGATCCAACTGCGCCACCGACACGGGGCCTCTGGACACCTGCGCGAAGGAGGCGCTGTCGTGCAGCTGGGCCGGCTCGGGCCCCGCGGACTCGGCCATCCTGGTCTTGCTGCCGATGTCGGAGGTGGACCTGGGCAGGGCAGAGGGGCGGCGTTAGCGCTGCCCCGGACCCCGGGCGGCAGGGCAGGAGGAGCGCGCCGTCACCTCTGGGAGTGGGCAGCTGCCTCCCAGCCCCCGAGTGGGGTGCTCAGGACAGGATTTGCCCCCCAGTAACAAAGGGCCTTCTGGGGGCGCCAATGTGGCGGGGACTCTCAGACTTGTAGCAGCTGTCCCGTTGGCCTGAGCTGGAATCATTTTTAGATGTTCAAGGTCAGTTCTCCCCTAAGGGTGGCTGTCGCGTCTGTGGGTGGTTGAACATTTAATTTCCATATAAAAGGAGGGAAGCAATTAGCGCTGGGTATTAGGGGGGGATGGTCGACCTGGGAGGTGATGACATCATCGGCAGCCAATGAGAAGGCTCCGTCTGGAGCGTCCGGAGGCTGCCCCCTCACTGACACCGGAATGTCCCAGGGTGGGGGTGGGGCACATTCCCTGCTACCCTTGGCAGGGAGCTCAGGCTGCTCCTGGGAGCAGTGGACACTGTGACTGAGAACTTTTGTTTTGTTTTGTTTTTGGTCCCACGGGGGACCAGAGAATAGGCCCATTAACACATCGTATTTCCACTCAGTGCTCAGAAAGCCAAATAAGAAGAGGGCAGCCTGGGCTGCATGGCGCCACCCCAGTTTAAGGGTGCTTCAGCCACAGGCTGTTTCTCCCCACAGGCATCGCCGGGTGCCTGAGGCAGTTTCACAGAGGGACCTCAGGCTCCCCTGAAGTTAAAATGGGAGGCAGCAGAAGGCAGCTGCAGCAGGTGGCAGGTGCCAGCCCACAGGGCCACCCTCTGAGCAGAGGGACAGGAGAGAGCCACAGCAAGGGAGAGGACGGGACACAGAGGGCTGGATTCTAGCTCCCTCCCTTCTCCACCGTGTTTCCGTGCCTCTAAAAGGAAAGGGGTGGCTGGCCTTGCCTCGAAGGTTCCTTCCTGGGCTAATCCTCTAGTGTATGGGAAGGGCAGCCGCCTCCTGAGAAGCGGCAAGGATGGCAGATGGCATGGAAGGGCATGGGAGAAGGCTGGTGGCTGAGACAAATAAATCAACGCTGGCCTTCAGCCCACCTAGCACAAAAGGCTGATGTGAAGCCCCTCCAATCTAGAACTCTCAGGAGTCACTGAGAAGCCCCCTGCTGTTCCCGGAGGATGATGATTTGATTGTACATCAGGGTGGGTGCTGGTGGCTCAGGGTGCAGTCTCCTTTCCTTTCTTTCTCCCTCCCTCCCTCTCTACCTGCTTGTTCCCACAGCCCCGGCTTCCCACATCCTGCTCCAGGTATTTGCTACCTTCTAAAAATTCCTGACCTCTGCTCCATACGCTCTTTTGAGACCCCTTCCGAGGAATCCCAGAGCTTTCCAGATCATTTAGGCCATTGTGCTCATGTTGCAGATAAGGAAACAGGGGCTGGAGGGACATGGCAACTCGCTGGGGCCACACGGCAGGTGCCTGGCAGTTGGCCTTGGGCTTCTCTGTGGATTCTGAAGGACTTTCTATTTGGAGACATGAAGGTCAACCCTCTGAGGTCCCCACTTCCTCCATGGCACCCAAGTGCCCCAGGCTCACGGCTGTCTGTACAGGTGATGCACCCTGAATGGGGCAGAGCAGGAAGGCAATTTGCTGGTGCTATTGTCAGGTCAGGGGACACAGGACTGAATCTTTCCCAAATATTCCAAACAAAGCAAAGAAAGGAATGTGTTACCGCCTGAGAGATGTGACAGCCACAGGGCCGGTCCGGGGAGGTACAGGTGGCGGGGGTGAGCCCATGACCATCTCAGGAAGCTGGGAGAACCTGTAAGCCTGTGGAAGAAAGCAGCGACGAGAGGGAGATCTGTTCAAACCCGGCGTCATCAGCTCACAGGCTTGTCTTATGTAAGGGGAACACAAGCTTCCAGAGCCAGAGGGCCAGACCCGCCTTCTTTCCTCAGACTCTTTCCTTAGATCTTCCTTAACATGTTTCTAGCTGCCTCTTCTACCTCATCTCCCACCGCTTTCTCCCCTTTGCAGGGGCCATTATGGTGGGTCATAGAGCCCTTCAACTGTTCTTAGAACATGCCAAGGCCTTTTCAGCCTTAGGCTTTTCTTTCCCCTGGATGGGATGCTTTCCTCCTTGTTCTTCACATGGCATCTTCCTTCATTTCAACCATCCAGCCCTATATGACCCAAGAACCCCATTTTATCTGTCCCCATATTATTTTTCATCATGACAATGATCACTCTCTGGCATTACATTGTTACTTGTTTATTTATTATCTGCCACCAACTAGACTGTCATAAGGGCAAGATCTTTGTTGACAGCTACACCCTCATGCCTGGAACAGTGCCTGGCATATAACACATGATCGATAAATATTAGATGAGTGAATGAATGAATCATTGATTGTGTTTTACTTTCTCTCTCCTGGAAAGCAGGTGTAGTGAGGGAAAGCAATGGATTTGGAGCCAGGAGGGATGTGTGAAGGTCCCGATGAACAGACTTTAGGTTCATAAGCAAGTCAAGTGACCTTTCTGGACCTCAGCATCCTCTTCTGAAATGGGGACAACAATGTCTTGCTCAGAGGGCTGCCGAGAAGATCGGGCAAGTCAGTGTATGTTCGAGTATTTTGCAATCTATAAAGCACTATTCAAAGATAAAGGACTGGAACTGTCACAAGAATGAAGACTTTTATCAGTATGTGAAGGGATAAAAGAAAAATGGACAGGATTAAAAGGAGCCAGGCCACAGCCTCCTTTAACAAGAGACAATCTAGAAATGCTTTCGGAAGACAAAGCTAAACTTGTGCTTTTCATCCGCTTCTTTCTTTAGGTATCATGCCTGTCAGATCTCTTGAGGAACAAAATGACAGGACTTTAAACCTGAAGGCATCAGGATAAAAGGCAGCAGCCCAGGGAATCCATAAACAGGATTTGTTAAATTGAATGAGGTCTTCTCCCTGCAGCATTACGGCAGACTACACATTCGTAGGGGCCAACCCACTCAGTAACAACCAGGTCCTGGATAGAACATACTTCTTAATGCATTGTGAAAACTGCAAGATGTAAGGGAAATCTCCAAGGACTCCTCGCCCCTCCCCTTTCCCACCCCAACAACTCAGCAAACTAAAACAAAGCCACGAGCTGAAACCAGAGGAGGAAATAGTGAGTAGTGAGCAAATACAAAAGGCGGTGTTGCCTGGAAGACAAATGCCACATTGGCAGTCAGTGAAGAGATCAAGTCTTGGGGCAGGGCAAGGTGAGAAGGAACCTGAGACACACACCTCCAACCTGGAAGGGGAACAGCATTGTCCCTTCCAGGAAGAGATGGTGGTAATGCTCCCAGGCTCAGGCAGAAGCAATTGTAAATCCTCTTTGGAGAAGAGTGTTCCTAGAGCAGGATCTCAGGATTAGCACAAATTTAAGATGAAGCAAACAGGAGCTCATAATTCGAGACCACAAACACATCAGAAAAGAGAAGTGAAAGTCAGTGGAAAACGACAAACAAAAGATTTAGACCTTTGAGAACTTTAGAATTTGGAATTTCTAGATATGAAACAAAAAACAACAATGTAAGAAATAATTTTTTAAAAAAAAATTGACAAGACAGATACTATTAGGAATGATCTGGAAGATTTGAAAAAAGAACAAATAGAATTTGTAGAAGTGCTAAATGATTATTAAAGTAAAACACTCAATGTAAGGTAATTAAATAATATATCAATCACGGACAAAGAGAATAAACTAGAAAACAGAATTGAGGAAATTACTAAGCACAAAGAGATAAGAAGATAGATAACATAAAAGAGAAATACAAGATATGCAGGATGGAATGAGCAGGTCTAACATGTAGCTACTTAAAGCCCCAAAGCAGAGAAGTTAGAGAATGAAGAAGAGGCAGTATATGAAGAAGCAGTAATTAAGAATTTTCCAGAACTGAAAAAATAAGCAAATTAATAGTTTCAGGAAGTACAATGTATCCCAAGCAGGATAAATAAAATAAAACACACACATAGATACACTGTAGAAATGGTAGAATGCCAAAGGCAAAGAGATCTTAAAAGCAAAAAGAGAGAAAAGGAATACCACCTACAAATGGAAGGCAATTAGACCGATAGGTGGCTTTTCAATAGTACCCAGAAGTCATGAAATGTGAAGTGCTTGGAAAAAATAACTGTCAACCCAGAAGTGTGTCAGCAATACTAACGTTTTAGAACAAGAACGAAGTAAAACATCTGCCTAGATCTCGAAGTACCGACTGAGTCAATATGGAAAGCTATGTTACTGTGCTGCATCTCCATTTTTTGAGCCTCAGGAAACAATGTATGCTAAGATAGTATTCAGGGAACCAAATTTTCAGCTGCACTAGATCCTAAGCTCCTTGGAATTCAGTAACCACGTCTGTCTCATGATGGTACTTCTTCATTAGAGGAGAGTGTCTTATACCAAGCAGTGTTAAATAACCATTTTCTGAATAAATGTTGAGTGAATCAGGCTCTCGTCTTGATTAGCCATTCATTTTTATGGATATGCCATTCAGTCTCCCTGAACCTTGTTTTTTGTTTGTCTTATTTTTCTTGTGAAATAAGGCACTGGTCTAGCTCAGGAGCTTCATTTCTTTAGCCATGCAATCATTTTGACAGATCCTAACACACTGACAGATTAAAGCAGAGCTTCTCTTCTCTGGTTGAAGTTGGGGAGGAGGTGCCTGGTGACTTTGGCCCTTCACTCACCTGTATGATGACCCCCTGGGACCTCCCTGAACTGTGAAGTTTTGCAGACAGTTGGGAAACCCTTGTCCTGGATGTCCTTCTAGCTTTACACGCCACGATTATCAATACACCAACAAGTAAGGCACTTCTTTCCCAAAATAGAGACAAGGGCTTACAGCCCTCTTCTCTTTTCTGGCCTCTCATGCTATTCAACAGAGGAGACAGACGATCTATTTTTATCCCTGGTTCTCGGAAGGCTTATTCTGTAGTCAACACAGTTTCCCAGCCAAGCAAAGGGCTTTCTATGCCTGTGTCTGTCTTATAGCAGTTCACCAAGAGAACTGATTAAAAGTCTGAACTTCTGACAAGCACCAAGGGAATTCCTTTGTTTGGAAGATTTTGCCAGGCACAGAGCAAGACTGCATAGGATATCAGGCAGCTCCCCTTGGGCTGTATCCACAGGGCCTTGGGGCAGCCACAGGGACCACATAAAAAATAGGAGGCATGGCTAAGCACGGCGGCTCATGCCTGTAATCCTAGCACTTTGGGAGGCCAAGGTGGAAGGATAGCTTGAACCCAAGAATTTGAGACCAGGCTGGGCAATAGCGAGTCCTTGTCTCTCCAAAAAAAGAAAAGAAAGAAAAAATTAAAAAAAAACTTAGCTAGGAGTGGTGGTGTGCACCTATAGTCCCAGCTACTCAGGAGGTGGAGGCAGGAGGATCGCTTGAGCCCAGGAGTTTAATGTTGCAGTGAGCTATGATGATGCCACTGCACTCTGGCCCAGGCCACTGAGCGAGACCCTATCTCAAAAAAAAAAAAAAAAAAAAAAAAGAAAAGAAAAGAGAGGCAGCCTATGCCATGGGCCAAGGAAATCCTCCTACACTGTTTCTTCCTACCTCCCCCTGTGCAGGTTCCCCATGGATTTAAGTCTGCTCATCCCTGTATTCTAGTTACCTTTCTTGTGTATTTGGAATCTGGATCTCTGCTGGCTGCTCCATGATGGGAATCCCTCTGGGAGCTATTGCTCAAAACTGTTGTCAGGTTCCAAGTGCCCAGTTCCACGATGGTGGCTGTGAGGTGCCTAGCCTGGCACCCAAGGAACCCAAGGAAACCAGCTTTGGGGGCCCTGTCCTCTGGCCAGCAAGGTGACCGGAGACTCAGAACGGAAGGCAGTCCTTATAAATAGGTCTCAGGTCTCCGAGGTTGAAGGAGACTGCGTGTGATTAGAACAGGGCACTCTTTGGGCTCAGAAGTTTGGGTGTAATGTGGAAGGAAGGAGGCAATAGTCTGTTCAGAGTTCCAGTCCTGGCTGCTCCTAGGGAGGAGGTGAAGAGAGTGGGTCAGGACCATCCTCTTTACCATCCCGGTGGAGGGTGAGCCCAGACGAGATCTATCGTGTGCTGGCCCCTCCTTGTGCACATGTGTCCACCCAGGAGAAAGGATCCAGTAACAATAAAGGGTAGCACCATCAGGGTGACAGGCTGCGGTTGAATGGACAGGTTAGGGGGTCTCAGGCTTTGCCTTAGTGGGAAAAAGACCACCAACAAGTCAAAGCCAGCTCATTCTCATTAGAAGCCCTGTCCAGTGCCATTGAGTTGGCCCCAGGGCAGAGTGGATGCTCTGATCTTTCCATACCTGGTGGCAACACTGGGTTCCTCTGCATGGTGCCCCTTCCACAGCATCGTGCTGACCCTGAGTACACTGCGCCAGGCAGAGGAATGTCCACCCTGTTCATATCCAGCTATAAATAACTCTACACCTTGGTGGAGGTAGAATCTTCTAGAAGGATAGCTCTTATTTAGCTGAAAGCAGGGGGCTTGGTAATTAAGTCTAACTCCAAGATGAAAACCCAGCGCTAATCTAATCTGTCAATTAACCAGGAGCTATTGACCAGAGCATTATCTGAAGGCTTCCAAGAGAATCTCAGAAGGTCCAAGCTGCAAAGAGCAAGAGACAGGCAGACCACATCTCTTACCTTAACAGATGGGGATACTGAAGCCCAGAGAGGTAAATCGACTTGTCCAAAATCACATAAGTCAATTAAGGGCACTGCCTCACAATTCTGAGCTCAGGATGGTGTGGTGCAGAGGATGTGGGTTCTAGAGTCAGAGAAAT